TTGACTGCAAGGCAAAGTCACACATAACTTGAACATGCAGTGTTTTTGTTCTCGGAGGATGCCCAGGACAGCTGGTCTCTGCTGCTTCTCCTCCTATAACCTGCTTTACTTGAAGGGCAAGGGGTGTGTGTTGGGGGGTAAATATAGCAGCAGTATTTCTGATGTAACCTTGTCTGACCTCGCCTGGACCTGCCCTTGGCATCATTGCCTTGTAGAATGGGAGGGAGAGGGAGAGCAAATGCGTCCCTGCTGCTTGCTGTGTGTCCCGGAAGCTCATACTCCAAGCCCTGATGAGGGCTCTGGGGCAGTGACCAGCCTAAAGAACAAAAACCCGGATAGGAAGGATGCTAGCGGACTTGTCAGCACTGCAGGGCTGGGTTGTCTGGCAGGAGGGCCAGCGCCAGGGCCCGTTAGTCAACACCATTCACGGAGGCAAAGGTGGCCACATGCCCTGTCCTGGAAACCACGGGCAGCTCAGATGGCAGCTGTGCCTGCTGCATTTTGAAAAGGTTCAGGTCAAAAATGATTTGTAGGTTACCAAATCCTAATTTCTCTGTCCTCTTTTCAGAGTTTCTTTTTCTCTTAAGAGGACACCTTAAGGATGACAAGGTGAACCTTTCCTTAGGGGGAAAAAATGTCCTGGAATATGCATCAGAATGATCTCTGATGGCTCACTCTGGTGGGAAGGATGGAGAATGAGTGAGGGGCCAGAGGCTGGGAGAATCAGAGTAGAGTGGCTGTTAAGGCTTTGCTCTGTATTGTTGATTCTTTCTTAACAAGGGTGATCTAGAAAGTTCCACATAAAAGTGTTCTGCCTCTCTAAGATGGACTACATCAATCAGTAGAGTCTTCAGCAACCTCATCGTGCTTGGAATGGCGAGACTGGCAGCAATTCATAACTGGTGAACTATCAAAACCACTTGAGCAAGACCCTCAGAGCATGCCCCACATTGGGGACCTGGGGTAGGTGGGAGACTGGGTGGGGCTTCTCCCTGTACCCCCCTTTGCCCCAGATATAGAAAAAAAAATGTGTGGAAATGATAGTCTTACCCACTTTCTTGTAGCCCTTGAACCTTTTTACCCTCATTAACTATGTAAAGATTGTCAAAAATAAAGGAAAAAAAAATGAAAAACAAAAGTATTCTGCCTAGGGAAGACACATGTGTGCAGAGAAACTAGACCTGAAATTGTGACCGTATTGTTACCAGGAAATGTCTGTCTTCGTAGATGTATTGCAGTTATCTCATTCCCAGTGTCCAGCATGTTCCAGTGTATCTTTTAATTTTGTGCCCTTATTTTTGTTATAAAAGGATACCCACCACCACCACCACCACCATCTACGCCTGGTAAATGGAATTAAAAGCGAAGATCATTTGAGTGTAAAAAGTGTTTGAGGGGAAGGCGTTTCTGACACGGCGGGGTGAGGTGCTGCATGGGACGCTCCCATGCCTATATCAGCTCGCATTCTGCATCAGCACACAGGTCTGAGTCCTGCCTAACGCACTTCCAATCCAGCTTCCTGCTGGGAGACAAGAAATGGAGGCTCAAGTACCCAGATGGAATTCCTGGCTCTGGCTTCTGCTGGCTTTAGGCAAGATATTGCTGGAATTTGTGGAGTGAATCAGATGACGGAAGATCTCTCTGTGTCATTCTCCTTAAGTTGATGAAACTAAATTAAATGTTTAAAAATAATTTTGCAACCCATGCATAGCTTTTACCCCATAATATACACTTTCTATAAATATTTTTGAGGACTTGTTTTTTTTCTTAAACTGTAATTCATTATCTTTTAAAAAATGTTTATCTGGGGCCCAGCACTATAGCGTAGCAGCTAAAGTCCTCACATTGAATGCGCCAGGATCCCATATGGGCTCCAGTTCTAATCCCAGCAGCCATACTTCCCATCCAGCTCCCTGCCTGTGGCCTGGGAAAGCAGTAGAGGACGGCCCAAAGCTTTGGGACCCTGTACCTGTGTGGGAGACCCGGAAGAAGTTCCTGGCTCCTGGTTTCAGATCAGTGCAGCACTAGCCATTGCAGCCACTTGGGAAGTGAATCATCAGACAGAAGATCTTCCTCTCTGTCTATCTGACTTTGTAATAAAAATATATAAATCTTTGAAGAAAAAAAAAAGTTTATCTGTTTGAAAGGCAGAGGGACAGAGAGAGAGCCAGGGAGATTTTTCCATATACTAATTCACTCCTCAAATTCCTGTAGTAGCTGGGGCTGGGCCTGGACAAACCTAGAAGCCAGTAACTCCATCTGGGTTCCTGGTGGATGGCAGAAACCCAAGCCTTGAGTCATCACCCGTGGCTTCTCAGAGTATGCGTTTAGCAGGAAGCTGGATCCAAAATGGAGAGGGGATGTGAACCCAGGAACCCCAGTGTGGGATGCCTAACTTGCCGCAGCACAGTCCCACTCCTCTTGTTTCTTTAAGGAGGTGAAAAATTGAGAGAATTGTGCAGGTGTCCCTGGCATGCACGCTGTACCCTCCTCTGCCTGTCACTCAGCCAGGTGAGCAGAGATGTGCTGTGCTGGGGATATAACTCCACTGAGTCCCTCACCCAGCGCCTGCGACAGGCTGGTGGCTCTATCCTTACCTGAGGAAGAGGCTAAGGTCCACACTGGACATTTGCGGTTTACAAGCATGGGGGCCGGGAAAGTTCATGCTGGAGTTTGCCTTTCATGTAAAGGCAAGGCAAAAGGCAAACTATACATGTAAGGAGCGACTCAAACAGCAATCCCAAGACTGACCCTGCCATGTTGGACCCAGTGGCCACATTGAATACCTGCTTGACTATCTGCTTACTCAGCACTACCTTAGATACCCTAGGTCTCGTATCCTTAGGGTCCATTTGCTTGAGTAAGCTGTGTGCTCCATCAGTCCCCTTAGGCCTTTATCCCTGACTCCTATACTCACCCACCTGGAGGCCATAAAGGTGCCTCTTCCTTTTGTTCTCTCTCTCTCTCTCTCTACTTCCTCTTTCTCCCTGCCCCATGCTAATTCCCCCACTGAAATAAAGACCTCTCCTGTGGCTCACTTATCGTGTGTCTTGGGTTTGTGGTGGGGGAAAAAAAAGAGCTAACAGTACAGCAATGGCTGAGGTCCAGCCTCAGAGGTGTTGGTTGAGGGCCAAAGGCGCGTGGCGTCTCCAGGTCCCTCTTCCAGCAGAACCATCAAAATTTCTCCGTAGGGCTGCCCTGGTGATCTCATTCACTCCTGATCACTTCTCCAGGGCCCCGCAACTCCAAGGCTGGCTGCAGCTGCTGCCCTTTTAATGCCACACAATAGGAGTTCGATGGCTACCACGGGGACTCTTGGGAGACACACCTACGCCGCAGTCCTCACCACTTCTCATCTCAAGCGAGGACATGGAGGCCCAGGAGGCGTCACTTAATAACCGGCTACAGAGTGCTAAGCAGGAGCACGCAGCACTCCATGAACACTTCCAGCCATCCACAGCTACCTCTGGCTCGATTCCAAACTAATTAAAAGACTATAATTGCTAGTTTGTAGGTTAACTGTCTTCTCTCTTCCTCCTTTCTTAATGTGGCCGGTTTAGAACTTTTATTTCAGATCTGGCACAGTAGCCTAATGACTAAATTCTCACATTGCAGCCACCCAGGATCCCATATGGGCACCAGTTCATGTTCTGGCTGCTCCACTTCCCATCCAGTTCCCTACTTTAGAGGAGACAGAAAATGCACTAAAATCTTCCAAATCAAAGTATTGGGTGGGGGTGGGGAACGCTATTTGTAGTGCAGCAGGTAAAGCCACAGTCTGCAATGGCAACATCCCCTATGGGTCTGAGATGCTCCATTTCCCATCCAGTTCTCTGTTAATGACCTGGAAAAAACAGAGGAATTGCTTGGGCCCCTTTCACCCAGGTGGGAAACAAGTGAGGAGTTCCAGGCTCTTGGCCTCCGCCTGGTCCAGCCCCAGCCTTTGTAATCATTTGGAAAGCAGACCAGCAGATGAAACAGCTCTCTCTCTTTCTGTGTCTCCCTCTGTCTCTGTAATTCTAACTTTATAAATAACTAGATACTTTTTAAAGATTTATTTATTTTTATTGGAAAGGCAGAATTACAGAGAGGAGAGACAAAGAGAAAGATCTTCTATCTGCTGATTCACTCCTCAAGTGGCTGCAATGGCCAGAGCTGAGCTGCTCCAAAGCCAGGAGCCAGGACCTTCTTTCAGGCCTCTCACTGAGGTGTAGGGTTCCAAGGCTTTGGGTAGTCCTTGATTGCTTTTCCAGGCCACAGGTAGGGAGCTGGAAGCGAGGTAGAGCAGCCAGGATATGAACCAGCGCCCAAATGGGATCCTGGCACATGCAAGCTAGGACTTTAGTCACTAGGCTATGGCTCTCGCCTCTCCACTCCCCACCTCCTCTTTTTGGAGTGCCAAGCTAAAGCCATTCTGAGTTCTCACAAAGCACAATATTTGACCAGTAAGTGTTTTTTTACTATTATTATTACTGTTATTACTTTCATCAGTGTCGTCATGAACATCTTTGTCTGTTTTGCCTTCCATTGTCAGTGACTTTCAAAGACTATAGCAGATGCCAGCGTAACGGCACTAATTGTGACAGCAGCCTTCCGTATCAGAGTTTCAATTCAGGTCCTGGCTCCTCTGCTTCTGGTCCAGTTCCCTGCTACTGTGCGTGGGAAGGCAGCAAAAGACGACCTAAGTGCTCGGTGGTCCCTGAGACCCACATAGAGCTCTCAGCTTTTGGCTTCAGGCTGACCCAGATCTGGTTGTTTTGGCCATTTGGGAGAGTGAACCAGTCGGTAAAACAGATCTCTGTGTTGTTCTTTTAAATAAACAGGAAAAGCTTGCCTAATCCCGGCGGAGCCTTACAGAGCTCTCCTCTGGAGCACAAGCGCCCTTTAGAGAGGTCAGAGACACTGGCCCACAGGCTATGCTTCCTGTTTACAGTTCTGTCAATCACTAGGAGAGGCAGAGGGTCCGCATCCTAAGCAGAAGTTTACGGTGGGTCACTCACCTTGCGCAATTCACCAAGTAAAACTCCAGGGTCCGGGGGAAACTGAAGGTCCAGAAGGCAGAGAAGGTCCAGCAGAAGAACGCACATGCCCCAGACTCACCTTCACAGCCTCTGTGCGAGGAAACGCCACCTGCGTTTTTCCAGCAGCTGAAATCCCCAGCGCCAGCAGCAGGTCCCAAATGACACAATAACAGACAGGAAAGGGCCAGAGGTGAGGCACCCCTCTGACCCCTGCTGCAGTCCATGTGTCAGGAGACCAAGTCCCCGAGCGTTCACTGCCCTGCAGAAGGTCATGCAGCTGGTAAACAGCAGGGCTGGCTCACCACCGTCATTCCCATGGCAGGCCCGAATCAAGCATGGTCTGTTTTTACAAGATGTTTGGTTTGCTGATGGGAAGAAAACAGGAGCTCAGGCCTCAGTGGATCTGCTTAGATTCCATCAGGGGGACTTGGACTGGGGGGCTAGGGGACAGTGAGAGGGAGCATTCTAAACTGAAAGTGCACAGTTGAATGTACCAAGAAGTAAGAATCCCGAGGCCTGCCCCCTGTGTAGACCTGAACTCAATTTTTAAATTTCTCTTCTAGACCTCATCTCTAACATGATTGGAATAAACACTACATTCCTGAATACAAAATCCAAAAAGTAGAAAAGATAAAACATGTAAAGTCACTTTCCCTCCCCCTGGCATCTCTTCCCCACTCCCACTCGCACTGATCATTTAGAGACGCTTGACTCCTGAAGAAAGAAGGGTCTAGGCTCCCATAATGTGCTCTTCACAGGAGTGGGGAGAGTCTAATGCTTGGTCCAAAACATGTCTCTTCCAGCTTGTCTCTGTCCACTTACCAGCAGGAAATCCTCCTGGTCACCCCTGCAAGCAAAGATGGGAACATGCCTTCCAGAACTAGCCAGGAAAAGCTTAATGTCAAACTCAATGCTGCCTAAAGGCCTTAAAAAAAAAGATTTATTTATTTATTTATTTATTTATTGGAAAAGCAGATACACAGAGAGGAGGAGAGGAAGATCTTCCATCTGATGATTCCTCTCCAAGCAGCCACAACGGCTGGAGCTGAGCCAATCCGAAGCGAGAAGCCAGAAGCTCTTCCAGGTCTCCTATGCAGGCGCAGCATCCCAAGGCTTTGGGCTGTCCTCAACTGCTTTCCCAGGCTACAAGCAGGGAGCTGGATGAGAAGCGGGACGGCCGGGATTAGAACCGACACCCATATGAGACCCGGGTGTGTGCAAGGTGAGGACATTAACCACTATGTTATCACGCTGGGCCCCAAAAGGCCTTTTAAAGAATTATCTACTTGACAGACAGAGAGAGACATTTTCCATCTGCTGGTTTACTGCCCAAATGGCTGCAATGGCCAGGTCTGGGTTAGGGTAAAGCCATTCAGGTATGCGACATAGGAGACAGGGACACAGGCTCTTGGGCCACCATCTGCTGCTTTCCCAATTGCATTAGTAGGGAGCTGGACTAGAAGCAGAGCATCTACAACTTAAAACATCATACTGATGTCTGATACTGCTGTTGCCAATAGCGGTTTAACCTGCCATGCCACAATATTATATTGCCCCGAATGTATTTTTGTTCATCAACTTCATTATTAAGCCTCTGTCATTGTTCTTATTTCGCTCTTCTCTTCCTTGAAGGAGATGCTCAGTGACCTGCCACTAGGACTAATCTGATTTCAGGATTTCATCTTATTTTCGCTTTTGTTTCCATCTTGTTCCTTTTGTGACACACTTAGTGAACCATTGTTAGGTTGAAATCAACAGTTAGAAATGGAATCCTCCTAGAGATCAGGTGCTGGCTTGGTGAGCTTACGTGGGTGGCAATGTTCTGTGTCACATGAAGCAGCCAGGGTGAGGGGGAGAGGGATGGAGCCTTGATGGGGTCTACATGCATGCTTTCCCTATAGTAAGAAGAAAAAATACAGTGTTAGTATATAAATACAAGGTGTAACATGAGAAAAAGTTAGAGAAAACAGTCTAATTTTAAACTGGGACTAGAGGTATTAACGCCACTTAGCCTTTGATTTCAGGGTTTTAACTGTGAAAAATTTTCCCATAAGCTCCCTAATTGGCAGAAGAGTCAGGTTGATACACAATAGGTTTTGCTTAGAAATGCAATGTTAAAAAGTTGTGGTCGCTTTGAGCATTCAGCACAGCAGAGAATATGCTGGTTTGGACATTCATTTTCCATGATGGAGCACTTGGGTTCAAGTCCCGGCTGCAGGCCCTGCTAACACGGATCCTGGGAAGGCAGTGGTGATGACACAAACATTTGAGCATGAACCAGCAGGTGGGAGCTCACCATGGCTTAACATCTTAAGCCACCACCTGCAGCGCTGGCATCCCACCTGAGCACTGCTTTACTGTCCATCTAGCTCCCTGTGAATGTGCAGGGTCCAAGGCTGTGTGACATCGTCCACTGTTTTCCCAAGTCACAATCAGGGAGCTGTATGGGAAGCTGAACAGCCTAACTCAAACCAGTGCCCATATGGGATGCTGGCACTTGGAGATGGAGGATTAGCCCATTGAGCCATCACACTGGAACCAGTAGACTTCCAATAAATACTTGTTAAAATGAATTGGATGAAGTAAAGAAATGTTAAAATGTTGAATGATACTGCAAATGGCTACCATTTTAGCTGATTGAACAACTTTACCCAGATAATAAGTATTAGGGTATGTAGGCTAACCTGAAGAGAGATCTTTCTAGTTAGCTTACATAAGTCTGGTCCTGTTTAAACAACTAAATGTCAGTGGGATGTTCTAATCATCTATATTTCTGATGACACAAGCCTGGGAGCCCTCATGACTTCCATATTGGATGAGAGGCTTTGGAATCAGAAGAATCTAAAAGCCCATTAACAGCAGAATGGCTATTGACTTCCACTACATCATTCCCACAGCAAGCTACATAGCACAGCAGCAACAAGTGAACTACTGTTGTGGGAAACTCCAAGAAGCCTCGCCAAGATAACATTCAGGGCAAAAAGCCAGAAACACATCACAATAGACTATAAGGGTCTATTTGTGTGTATTTCAAAACCAAGCAGAATTCTCCTGTGGTCTGCAGGTTCAGGGCTGTGGTCCTCTTTAGGAAGGAGAAAAAACACGAAGGACTAGGAGGGCGCATGAAGGCCTCGGAGCTACCGGGCACATCGGCATCTTGACCTGGGTGGTGGTGACACGAATGTGCCTATCTTGTATGTGCATTGTACACCCACGTTAAAGAGTGATGATTTCTGATTTCAAAGAAAAGAATAATTAGGATTCTCAGGATTAAACTTGCTGTTGGATTATACTTAGTTGTCAGTCACTTAGGCTAAATAATCTTAATTATAGATAATTTCTTTGATATCTTGTTTTAGATTTTCTTTTTATAAGAGGGGCTGTTGGAGAGGCAACACTATTGCTGCAAGAATATGTGCTACAGGGCATGTTCGTGTGTTGCTTAAAATACAGCGCTACAGTCTTTTCTGAGAGCAATTTAGCAATGGCTGCTATTTTAAAAATGCATTTACCCCTTGACCCAGCAGTCTCAGCCGCAGGAATGCATCCTATTGATATAAAACAACCGGTGGTCGGGGCCCAGTGAGGTAGCCTAGTGGATGGAGTCCTCGGCTTGCACTCACCAGGATCCCATGTGAGTGCTGGTTCATATCCCGGCTCCACTTCCAATCCAGCTCCCTGCCTGTGGCCTGGGAAAGCAGTCGAGGACAGCCCAAAGCCTTGGGATGCACCCGCATGGGAGACCTGGAAGAAGCTCCTGGCTCCTGGATTCAGATCACCTCGACTCTGCGTGTTGCAGCCACCTGGGTAGTAAATCAGCAAAGGGAAGCTCTTGCTCTCTATCCCTTCTCCTCTCTGTATGTCTGCCTTTCCAATAAAGATAAATAAATCTTTTTTTAAAATTGTCTTTTTTTTTTTTTAATAAAAGGGAATCTACTGGAATCTACTGGAATGTAAACTCCATAGAGCATATGTAAAGGGGATATTTATGGCAGCAGTGTTTGAGTGGTAACCCTCACTCCGCCACAGACAATAAAATCGTAACTACTCGTGTATGTCCATCATGTAGACAATCAAATTGTAAATACTGCTGTATACGCATCAACGGAGTAACAGTTGCAAAAGTTAGAGAATACATCTGCATTTTAGAACATCCGTGAAAAAAATAGACTTAATTAAAAAAAATTTTTTTTAATTTGAATGGCAGAGTTACAGAAAGAAGGACAGAGAGATCTTCCATCCATTGGTTCACTCCCTAAACAGCTGCAATGGCTGGAACTCGGCCAGTCTGAAGCCAGGAGCCAGGAACTTCTTCCGGATCTCCCAGGACTTGGGCCATCTTTCACTGCTTTCCCAGACACAATAGGAGGGAACTGGATCAGAAGTGGAACAGTCAGGACTTGAACCTTGAACCAAGCCCATACGGGATGCCAGTGCTGCAGACAGAGGCTTAACCAACCGTACCACAAAACCAGTCTAAGGAAATGAATTTTTTTTTTTACATGAGAAACTGTTTTGAATAAAAGAAGCAAACTAACCATTTTTAAATTTTTTATTGGCAAGGAAGAGATACAGAGAGGAGATACAGAGAGAAAGATATTCTGTCTTCTGTATCATTCCCCGAAATGGCCACAATGACCAATGCTGAGCTGATCCGAAGCCAGGAGCCAGGAGCTTCTTCCAGCTTTCCCACGCGGGTGCAGGGTCCCAAAGCTTTGGGGCTATCTATGGTTTTTTTGGGCCATAACCAGGGAGCTGGGTAAAAAGTGGAGCAGCCGGGATATGGACTGGCACCCATATGGAATTTGGACTGATGCAAGGTGAGGATTTAGCCACTAGGTTATCACGCAGGGTCCAAAATAGTCACTTTTAAAATGACAACAAAATGTGTATTAAATGTATGTACATTTCTATTTTCTACATGTGACTGCATGAACATGAATAAAAATGGCAACAATTGGGTTGATAAATTGGTTATGGGGAGTTGATATTATGGGTGGAAGAAAAGAAGGAAAGAAAGTAGAATCAAGGAAAAAGAAAGAAAAATAAAATAAAAATCAGAGGAATTTTTTTAAAGATTTACTTACTTTTATTACAAAGTCAGATACACAGAGAGGAGGAGAGACAGAGAGGAAGATCTTCCGTCCTATGATTCACTCCCCAAGTGGCCGCAATGGCTGGAGCTGAGCCAATCTGAAGCCAGGAGTCCAGATCCTCTTCCAGGTCTGCCACACGGGTGCAGGGTTCCAAGGCTTTGGGCTGTCCTTGACTGCTTTCCCGGGCCACAAGCAGGGAGCTGAATGGGAAGCAGGCCGCTGGGATCAGAACCGGTGGCCATATGGGCACATTCAAGGCGAGGACTTTAACCGCTATGCTATCGTGCTGGGTCCCAGAGGAATTTTTTTATAAGCTGTATTGAGTCAAAAAAAACTCATATCACAGGTAAAAATAAAATACCGTTCTTGGGTCATTAAAGGAACATATGTCTAAATCAAATGATGTAATAATCCCAGGTGTATTTATACTGCTCAGATTGAATCCAATATTAATTTCTGGACACCACATGAAAAATAAAACAATTACATTCCTAATCTAACACCAAAAGAAATTATCTTGTTGTAAGAGAAAAACGTCCTCCTCACTCAATGGTTAAATCCTCACCTTGCAAGAGCCAGGATCCACATGGGTGCTGGTTCATGTCCCAACTGCTCCACTTCCCATTGAGCTCCCTGCTTGTAGCCTAGTAAAACAATCGAGGCCGGCCCAAAGCCTTGGGGCCCTGCACCCGCATGGGAGACCCGGAGGAGGCTCCTGGCTCCAGATCAGCTCAGTTTTCACCATTTTGGCCATTTGGGAGTAAACCAGTAGATGAAAAATCTTTCCCTCTGTCTTTCCTTGTCTTTGTAAATCTGCCGTTCCAACAAAAACATATAAAAACTAAAGAGAGAGCAAAAGAGAGAGAGAAATGGCTTAGGTAAACCTGGATTCCAATGTATTTTTCGTCACTTACTTAATTGTGTGAACTTGACCCTGTTTGTCTCAACTGTGCAGCAGGGATGGTTTTAATTGCTACCTTTCCAGGCTATTGCAGGGTAGTTAGGTACACATGATAGGCAGTGGGACCTAGAAGAAACTGAAAAGTAATTAATATCATTAATACTAAAGTGGATCTATCGCTCTGAAGATCAGAATTGACCTATAAAACAGAAGGAGAAAAATTAGAAGCATAGTCTTACCTCCTAGGTGCTAACCCCTGTTAACTTTTGGATGTTTGGGAAGTTGCATACTCTGATGTGATAAACCATTATGAAACCCGATGATAGCTTAGGCATGCGCTAGCAGCTCACAGCTTGTGAAGAAGGCTTGTTGTGTAGAAGGGCAATAGACAGAGCTACTGGCAGAAGCCAGAGTCCTGATAAGAGCTGTCCAGCAGTGGCACGGGCTGCTTGGAATGACAGGGAGCTCCTTGTCACCACAAATGACCACTCTGGCTGCCAGCCATTTGTCAGAAAAGTTATGGAAGAGATGGTTGTGTGGAGGAGTGGGCAGGCTGAATGACCACCAGAACTCTGCCCGACTGGAACAGTTGATCTCTATGGAAACACCTGCTGGATAGCTCCAGACCCCATCCAGCGCCGGCCCACCTAGCACAGCCTGCGTGGTTCTTACTGCACGTGGTGAGCATGCTTCTCATGGATTCCATGAACATTACTACAAGTTCCTAGCATGGAGCAGGTGGAGGAGCACGGGGTAAGCTGAGGACGTGCACGGCCACCAAAGAATTCCCTTCCCTGTGGAGACAGAAGTTAAAGCAAGGGGTGGGCCTGGAGGGAGTTCACAGCTCATCTCTCTGGGTACTGTTTGTCTGCTTTCTTTTTTATTATTCAGGGTTTCTTCCC